CGTAGGTGTGAAAGAAGTTCAACATTGTACGTGTGCATTCTGGTTATTGATCCCAACGGCAATAACCCGCGCAGCCACCGGATTCGAACCGCGCACCTCGGCAAAACGAGCGGTGAGCGCGCTAACAGCTGGGTGACTCACCAGCGCCACATGGTGATCGTAGATCTGTTTGCTGGCCTCGAGCTCCTGGTCGAACATGGCGATCAGCGTTGTGAAGTTGGCAGCGAAGATCTCACCGACCGCCGGTCTCTCCAGGAAGCCAGCCGCGATGGCCACAAGCTGATGGGGGGGGGGGGGAAATCCCCCATGTGACCAACCCCCTGCCATGGAAATGTAGAATTTCCGACCGCCGGGGCTCAGGGCCGCCGGCGGAAAGGTGAGTGAGAACTCGTTGCCAGTGCAAGCATGGACACTTTCGCTCGGAACGGACTTTGAATCGTAATGATTTTATTTTATTACTATTTTTTATTTTACCATTTAAGGCCCACTGGGCTATGCAGCTTTTTTTCAGAAGGGATCTGGCCACAAATTACAGCTCGAATGGCTTATTATGGGGACATTCATATTAGCCAAATACTCTGAACGCGTGTTCATTCTTAATGTGCAAAGGAAAAAAGTAGAACTCACAGAAAAATCCACGCGATCACAGGGAGAACACGCAAACTCCAAATATACAGCAGGCGTTGGGCTTGGGATCGAACCCACGACCTCCGGCATTTAAGGTGAAGGAGATAAGACAGTCAAACGACTGGGGGGGGGGGGGGGTGGGTGGGTTGGAGGGTGGGATGCTGGGAATGGCACCTTGAAGGCCGACTCAAGCCCAGAGCAGTCCTGGAAGGCCTGGCAGAGGATGGAACCAAGTCGGCGGTCGAAATCCAACACTCGGCGCTTGAAGTCCTTGTAGTCTCTCACAAAAGCCTGCGGTGCACACGTGGAGTAGGGGAGAGGGGGAGGTGATCAGGACGTTGGGTTGGGTGGGCAGGATGGAGCCCTGAATCTAGGAATTTTCAAGCTCTCTCTCTCGCGGTGTGTTGGTCGTTTGGCCGGATTGGCCGAGCGTGCCCTCTGATTTCCGCAGCTCAGAACGACTTAAAGCCCAAATTGAACGACGAACCTCAGGGGGCGAGGACTCTGACCAATCACGGTGCACGCTCAAGCGGAACGAGAGCAGCCAAAGATTAAAACGCAACATAAAACACTCCACAGCGTCGCCTCTCTCGGGAGTAACGCAAACGCAACCACGCGTACACATAGCCGCGGGGTAAACAAGCTTGCCCAAGCACCGTGGTTCTCTTCCCCCAGACGTGGGGGGGTCTGCGCTCTCCGCGCAACAGGTACGGTGTGCGCGCCCATCATCAAAGCAAGCGGCACGTCCGCCTGCCGGGATATTTGGCGAGATGCCAACGGTGATTTTTTTTTCATCGTCTCCTCTCCTCGGTCGGCGTGCGTTGGTGGCTCGGTCGGCTGGCTGGCTGTGCGTGTTTGCTGTGGGAGTGGCGTTTGTGCGCCGGGAGAGTTCGCAGTCGCCGAAGTCCGTGGCGCGTCACCCGCAAGCGACGGCGCCAATTGGAGGGCTACGAGGTCGGAGGTCGGGGGTCGGCTCGGTGGTCTCGGAGGTCGGAGGTCAAATTGCTGAGCCGGCGAAGGGCCGAGATCTCCGGGCTCAAATCCGGGGTTCAGCCGCTGCCCGCGGTTAAAGCCGGGTTCTCAAGCACAGCGAGTGGATACTGTCGGCCGGGTAACCAAGATCTCGCATCGAGATCCCACGTCGAGATTGTTAGGCTCACACAGGGAGCCGTACTGAGACACTGAGGCATTACACTCACACTTCCGATCAGCATGGTTAGCTATGTACGGTGCAAAAGAAGTTCAACATGCATACTGAACAGGGATCCATAGACTCATATGGTTGTGTTCACGTACATCACACTAAAATAACCCATTGTATTGGGTTATGCACCTAATTTGACTAGATTCCAACTCTGAGAACTAAAAGCGTCGGTTAGACCATCACGTGAGAAACATTGCTCTCACATGGCAGAGCGGGTGGGAAAATGCTGCCCTCTGCTGTGTGGAGCAGAGGTTACTTAAAGAGATCTCAGAGGTAGCTCTTCTATATCCTCCTCCCATGTGCCGTTCTCTCAAAATGCCACCCTCTCCTGTGCTAGAGATCGGAAAAAAATGTATTTGTCTCGTGACATGACGCCGAGAGCGCAACTTGGATACAAATGAACAGTTCACAAACATTGTGCCACCATCCTGCAATGCATGGTGGGTATGCAGAGCAAAGATGATTGCAAAAATAACAATCGTGCCTGGAGTGGAGGTAAGAGAGAAAAGATTTAGGGCTCGGTTTAGGATTATGTTTTTTTTAATTCCTTCTCTGACCTACCCACACGAAAATGATTTGTGCCAAGGGTTGGCGGTGGCTTAGAGTTAAGTTCGCGAAGCAATGACCGGAGGAATTTAGTGAAATTTCATTCAAATGCGTTTCATACTACACTCCCGATGAAAAATGTTTTACACTTCAGATGAAATGTCGCATTTAAGTCGGGGGCTTTATTGCCACATTCGTTAGAACGAGCCCGGTGGGAGGGGGGGGGTCTGAAAATAAATTAGAAATTCAAGTTCACGCGGCCCGAGAGCTATCTGCATTCATTGGCCATGATGTCGATCGATCCGTCGAATTTTCCACAAAACTAAAACTCTTAAAGCGACGGCGACTTGTTGGCTGTGCCCGCACGCCTCGTGCGTGCCCCCTCCTCCCCCCTCCCTCCCACCTTCTCCTCCTCCTGCTCCCCCTCATCCTCCACCTTCTCCTCCCCCTCCTCCTACTCTTCTTTGTGCAACCAATGTTGATACAGAGCAACAGCTGGTGGTAGAATTGAAATGTTGCACGAATCGTCTAGCCCTCCGCTTCACAAATGCACACTGATCCAGTGTGGTGAAGTATGGTAAAAAACCCCTCATGACCAACACCGAGTAGGAATGCCTTTTTTGCAGCTGTGTATTGACATAGGACAGTAGATTGGCCATAACTGTTTTAATCCATTCCTTAAATATTATTTTTAAAACGAGATTCATATTTAAACAAAAGGTCTTATTTCGACATGGGTTTGGGCATTAGAGATCGCAGGATGATAGCGACGGCGGCGGCTTTGCGGAGGGCTTCATCCAGCAGTGGATTGTGCATGGCCGCTTGGGCGACACGGTGGCGAGATGTTAACTACCTCTCCTGGTATACAGGATCTCATGGGTTTGATCATGACGCTGACACCTGCTGTATATTTGGAGTTTGCATGTTCTCCCCATGATCATGTGGATTTTTCTCGAGGTCCTCTGTTTTTCCCTCTACATTTAGATTCAACGCGCATTTAGATTATTTGGCTGCTATACATTTCCACGTGTTTGATAAGCCACTTCGTGGAGAGCTATCACTTGTGATGGCTAGCTCGCTTATGAAAAAGAGCTACATAGCTCCTCAGTGGGCCACACCTGGTGACAATCGATGGAGTTGAACCCTCCCCATCGTCGCTTGTGTCCATCACGTACCTTGTCCTCGCAGTCGAGGGCATCGTAGCTGCTCTCCTGGAACACCTTCCATCTCTCCAGGAACTCCTGGCCCAGGCCCGAGGCCTGCTCGCTCAGGGCTCGGCCCTTGACCCCGCCAAACTCCAGGCGCTCCAGGCGAGAGAACTCCAGGGCCGTCTGGAAAACATCCTGCAGCAGCAGCAGCAGTGATAGTAAACTTAGTAGTGGAAGCAAGAGCAGCAGCAGAAGCAGTAACAATATAATTATTAGTGGAAGCATCGACATCAGCAGCAGCAGCAGAATCTGAAGATACAGCAGCAATAGCGACAACAGCAGCAGCTGCTACTAATTTACACCATTTTTTGCCAAATTTGGACAATGTCGGTAAACGATGGCTTACTCCTCCTCGTTTTGAACAACCTCACGGGAAATCTTTAACGTCCACTGTGGAGCAGACGGCGCGTAGTATTTGTCCGGTGAATATAACACACGCCCAGGAATAACCAGGGCGGCCCGACAGATCCCAAACCGCGAACCTTCTCAACAAGCGGCGAACGCGCTACCGCTGGGCCCTGTCACCCCTCCCCATCCCCCCCCACCAACATTGTTGTACGTGTATGTTTAACTTCTTTCGCGCCATATGTGGCCAAACGTGCCACGGTTGGCCACGTATCAGGCAATGGCCCTCGTTCTTCATCCTGGAGAGATTAGAGAGGTAATTTTGAGAGATGGAGTGATGAAGAGTTTCAGGCTACACGATACACTGTGGAGCCCTGATAGAAAAACAACAACAACAACACACACACACACACGATGAGTCGAAGTGATGTCCCGCTCGCCACAAGGAAAGGCAATGGTCGAGGACGATAACGGAGTGGCAGCCAAGGAATGGAACGCATCTGAGAAGGTTACGTTCAACATTTGTATGCATGTTTGTTGAACTGCTTTCACACTATACGTAGACAACCGTGCTAATTAGAGGTGCGGGGAAAGGACAACAAACTAAAGACAAAAAGCAGTTCTAAAGAAATGAATTTGCAACCTAGATGATTTTAAAGTGCATAGCTCCAGTGGCTTCCGAAGGAAGAATATCGGAAGGAAAGAGCGTTCCAAACGGCCGCAGAAGAGAATCTGAAAGCGCGCGATGAGGTGACCGTCTTTGTTTTGACGGCCATTTGCTGCTGCTGTTGTTATTGTTATGCCGGTGACCCGTCCGTCATTTCGCGGTCGAGCACTCGCACTTCCAACGAGCAGCGCATCCCCAACCTGGATCTGCCGCAGGCGCTGCAGGCTTAGGTCGAGGCGAGTGAAGGCAAGCTGCGATGGGAAGTCCCAGGGCCTGGCGGGCCTGGTGGGCCGCCCGCCCCCCGTTGCCCCCGGGGTCGACGGGGGGTTTGCGAGGGAGTCGCGGCAGCGCGAGAACTCGTCGCGGAACTCGAGCAGGAGGGCAGCGGCAAGCTTCACGCGCTCCAGGCCCTCCTCCACCTCGCCCGTGAAGAGGCCGTCGGCGGAGAGGTGCAGCGCGGCCTGGGGGGAGGGTCATCACCCCCGTGGTGTATGGAGAGAGAGGGAGGTGAAGAGAGGGGAGAGAGAGGAGAGGGTGAGAGAGAGACGTGTTGGAGACATTTATTGAGAGCTACAGGGAGACATGGCTAGAGAGACGTGGCAAAAGACAGAGACAAAGAGATGGTAAGAGAGATGGTGAGAGAAAGAGAGAGACACACAATGGCGCACGCCGCACCGGCTTTGTGACGTTGTGACGTGACGTTGCAACGTTGTAACTTTGTGATGTTGCAACATTGTGACTTTGTGACGTTGCAACGTTGTGATATTGCGACGTAGCGACGTCGCTACGTTGCATAGTTGTGACGTTGCATAGTTGTGACGTCGTGACATTGTGACATTGTGACGTGACGTTGCAACGTTGTGACTTTGTGACGTTGCGACATTGCGACGTTGACGCCGTCATCGCCCCCGGCGGGGACCTGCCTGCTGGATGAGGAGGTTGGCGATCTCCTGCAGGAGCACCACTATGCGCTCGGGCCGGCCGTAGCGCTCCGAGCGGCTCCACGCGAGCGTCACCGTGCGCAGCAGCGGCGCCAGCAGCGGCGCCGCCGCCGGCAGCTCGGCCCGCTCCAGCGCGTCCAGGTGGCGCGCCAGCGGGCGCAGGTGGAGCGACACGTCGCGGGCCTCCTCCAGGCCTGCGGTCGCGGTGGGCACGGGAACGAGCGGCCAGACGGAAAGGGGCGTGGTGAGAGCGGCAGGGGAGAGACGTGGGTGGGGGGCCGGGGGAGGACATGGAGACACACAGGGGGTGGGCATGGAGCGGTCCCCCTAATCAACACACTTGCCCGTGGCCCCCCCTAATAAATACACTTGCCCGTGGCCCCCCTAATCAAAGCACTTGCCTGCGGCCCCCCTAATCAACACACTTGCCCGTGGCCCCCCTAATCAACACACTTGCCCGTGGCCTCCCTAATCAACACACTTGCCCGGGGCCCCCCTAATCAACACACTTGCCCGTGGCCTCCCTAATCAACACACTTGCCCGTGGCCCCCCTAATCAAAACACTTGCCCGCGGCCCCCCTAATCAACACACTTGCCCGTGGCCCCCCTAATCAATACACTTGCCTGCGGCCCCCCTAATCAACACACTTGCCCGTGGCCCCCCTAATCAACACACTTGCCTGTGGCGACCTCCTGGCAGATCTGCTGGAAGGCCGGGCAGTAGCTGCTCTCTGCCCTCTCCAGCACCCGGAAGAGCTCCCTCACCCTCGGCGTGTTCAGCTGTGGGAACGGGGACATTTGTTCATGCCGCGGGAGGAATCCGGATAAAGCTGTTAAAAGCTCTTTTTGTCGCACGCGTTGTCACGTCGGGGTTACGGGATTCAGAACGTGACAACAACAGTCTTAAAGGGAAAATATATATACAAGTGGAGCACCTTCACTACTTCACCTCCAGTGGGCAATGATTCTTAAGAGCACTCAGGGCATTTAAGCACCCCCCCCTCCTTTCTTCTTCTTCTTCTCCTCCTCCTACAGGGGTATCAGAGCTTAGGAAGACACCAGGTGGTTGTAGAGTTGATTGAAATAGTTTATTGAAACATGCCGTTTAGATAGGGTTCCATTGCACTGTAATCCGTGATGTGTGTTGGTGCTGGTGTCAATCCCATTTCACACCTCCTGTGTTATGTACCTGAATCGTCTTGTTAATAAAATACTTTTGAAATAAAATAAAAATTCTACAAATACAACTAAACTATTTTATGTGACCAAGTAACGCCCACTGAGCTATTGACTTATTTCTCCACCCACACAGACAAATGCAAAGGTCTCCCGTGTCGCTTTTGAACCAGGCTGTAGGGGGGGGGGGCAAGTTGCAGGGTTCTCAAATGCAGCGGCAAGTTTATGGTCTCAGGGTGGTCACCAAAGGTGAACTACCAAACCACCACCGCGATTGATCGATGGCGGCGGTGGGCGGTTAATTGGTCGAGGTGGATATGCGACGGCTCAGATGTGTTACGCTGGCACACCGGAAGAGCGAGTGGCTCGCGCTCGGAAGGTTGCGAGGTTCAAACTGTGGTTGGGAGTGGACTCGGCTCATCGTCCCCCTGGGGTCGACAGAATGACTCAGACCACTTTGTGCAGAAGTTAACAGTGTGGATCGACTCACCCCCATCCCCCGTAAAATGAATTTGCACCAGTGGCTCAGGGCTGTCAACAGGAGATGAGCTCCAATGTGGCAATGCTCATTTGAGCAGCAAATCACTTTGACGTTTGATGCTTTGTTGACTGGAATTCCCAGTCACTGATTGACGCTGGTGGTGGAGGTGATGATGGTAGGAGCGGTAGTGGCAGTGGTGGGAGTGGTGGTGAGGACGGCGGTGGTGGCAGTGGTAAGCAGTGGTGATACTGGCGGTGGTGGTAGTAGCGGTGGTGGCGGTGATGATGGTGGGAGTGGTAGTGAGGGTGTTAGTGTAGCAGTTAGCGCGCTGCGCTACAAACCTGGCGACCCGGGTTCGATTCCCGCTCATGGCCAACACCGGTGACGATTATCTGAACCGGTTCTGGGCCTCCCTTAGGTCGACTCAGCCTCAAATGAGTACCTGGTGTGATGTGTAAACATCGCCACTAGGGAGATAAAGACGGCCGGACGTGGTGTTGGCCTCCCACCCCCTCTGTGTGCCGTGTCGGACTTTATAGGTGCTGCTCGCTCACAGTACTTGCCCCAAAATTCTGTTTCGGCTATTTGGTGGTGGTGTTGGTGGTGGTGTTGGTGGTGGTGGCGATGGTGGGGGTGATGATGACGATGATGGCGGTGGTTGTATTAGTGGTAGTGGTGGTGGTTTTATTAGTGGTAGTGGTGGTGGTTGTATTAGTGCTGGTGGTGGTTGTATTAGTGCTAGTGGTGGTGGTTTTATTAGTGGTAGTGGTTGTATTAGTGGTAGTAGTGGTAGTTGTATTAGTGGTAGTGGGTGGTGGTGGTTGTATTAGTGGTAGTGGTGGTGGTTGTATTAGTGGTAGTGGTGGTGGTTGTATTAGTGGTGGTGGTTGTATTAGTGGTAGTGGTGGTGGTTGTATTAGTGGTAGTGGTGGTGGTTGTATCAGTGGTAGTGGTGGTGGTTGTATTAGTGGTAGTGGTGGTGGTTGTATTAGTGGTAGTGGTGGTGGGTGTATTAGTGGTAGTAGTTGTATTAGTAGTAGTGGTGGTGGTTGTATTAGTGGTAGTGGTGGTGGTTGTATTAGTGGTAGTGGTGGTGGCGGTATTAGTGGTAGTGATGGTGGTGCTTGTATTAGTGGTAGTGGTGGTGGTTGTATTAGTGGTAGTGGTGGTTGTATTAGTGGTAGTGGTTGTATTAGTGGTGGTGGTTTTATTAGTGGTAGTGGTGGTGGTTGTATTAGTGGTAGTGGTTGTATTAGTGGTAGTGGTGGTGGTTGTATTAGTGGTAGTGGTGGTGGTTGTATTAGTGGTGGTGGTTGTATTAGTGGTAGTGGTGGTGGGTGTATTAGTGGTAGTAATTATATTAGTGGTAGTGGTGGTGCTTGTATTAGTGGTAGTGGTGGTGGTTGTATTAGTGGTAGTGGTGGTTGTATTAGTGGTAGTGGTTGTATTAGTGGTGGTGGTTTTATTAGTGGTAGTGGTGGTGGTTGTATTAGTGGTAGTGATGGTGGTTGTATTAGTGGTAGCGGTGGTGGTTGTATAAGTGGTAGTGGTTGTATTAGTGGTGGTGGTTGTATTAGTGGTAGTGGTGGTGGGTGTATTAGTGGTAGTAATTATATTAGTAGTAGTGGTGGTGGTTGTATTAGTGGTAGTGGTTGTATTAGTAAAGGTGGTTGTATTAGTGGTAGTGGTTGTATTAGTGGTAGTGGTGGTTGTATTAGTAGTGGTGGTTGTATTAGTGGTGGTGGTGGTTGTATTAGTAGTGGTGGTTGTATTAGTGGTGAAGGTGGTTGTATTAGTGGTAGTGGTGGTGGTTGTATTAGTGGAAGTGGTGGTGGTTGTATTAGTGGTAGTGGTGGTGGTTGTATTAGTGGTAGTGGTGGTGATTGTATTAGCGGTAGTGGTTGTATTAGTAGTAGTGGTAGTGGTTGTATTAGTAGTGGTGGTTGAATTAGTGGTAGTGGTGGTGGGTGTATTAGTGGTAGTGGTTGTATTAGTAAAGGTGGTTGTATTAGTGGTAGTGGTTGTATTAGTGGTAGTGGTGGTTGTATTAGTAGTGGTGGTTGTATTAGTGGTGGTGGTGGTTGTATTAGTAGTGGTGGTTGTATTAGTGGTAGTGGTGGTGGGTGTATTAGTGGTAGTAGTTGTATTAGTAGTGGTAGTTGTATTAGTGGTAGTGGTGGTGGTTGTATTAGTGGTAGTGGTGGTGGTTGTATTAGTGGTAGTGGTGGTAGTTGTATTAGTGGTAGTATTAGTAGTGGTAGTTGTATTAGTGGTAGTGGTTGTATTAGTGGTAGTGGTTATATTAGTAGTGGTAGTTGTATTAGTGGTAGTGGTGGTGGGAGTATTAGTGGTAGTAGTTGTATTAGTAGTAGTGGTGGTGGTTGTATTAGTAGTAGTGGTGGTGGTTGTATTAGTGGTAGTGGTGGTGGGTGTGTTATTGGTAGTAGTTGTATTAGTGGTAGTGGTGGTGGGGGTATTAGTAGTAGTAGTTATATTAGTAGTAGTGGTGGTTGTATTAGTGGTAGTAGTTGTATTAGTGGTAGTTGTGGTGGTTGTATTAGTGGTGGTGGTTGTATTAGTGGTAGTGGTGGTTGTATTAGTGGTAGTGGTGGTTGTATTAGTGGTAGTGGTTGTATTAGTGGTGGTGGTTGTATTAGTGGTAGTGGTGGTGGTTGTATTAGTGGCACTGGTGGTGGTTGTATTAGTAGTAGTGGTAGTGGTTGTATTAGTAGTGGTGGTTGTATTAGTGGTAGTGGTGGTGGGTGTATTAGTGGTAGTGGTTGTATTAGTAGTGGTGGTTGTATTAGTGGTAGTGGTGGTGGTTGTATTAGTGGTAGTGGTGGTTGCATTAGTAGTGGTGGTTGTATTAGTGGTTGTGGTGGTGGTTGTATTAGTGGTAGTGGTGGTGGTTGTATTAGTAGTGGTGGTTGTATTAGTGGTAGTGGTGGTGGGTGTATTAGTGGTAGTAGTTGCATTACTAGTGGTAGTTGTATTAGTGGTAGTGGTGGTGGTTGTATTAGTGGTAGTGGTGGTTGTATTAGTGGTAGTGGTGGTAGGTGTATTAGTGGTAGTGGTTGTATTAGTAGTGGTAGTTGTATTAGTGGTAGTGGTTGTATTAGTGGTAGTGGTTGTATTAGTAGTGGTAGTTGTATTAGTGGTAGTGGTGGTGGGAGTATTAGTGGTAGTAGTTGTATTAGTAGTAGTGGTGGTGGTTGTATTAGTAGTAGTGGTGGTGGTTGTATTAGTGGTAGTGGTGGTGGTTGTATTAGTGGTAGTGGTGGTGGTTGTATTAGTAGTGGTAGTTGTATTAGTGGTAGTGGTGGTGGGTGTATTAGTGGTAGTGGTGGTGGTTGTATTAGTAGTGGTAGTTGTATTAGTGGTGGTGGGTGTGTTATTGGTAGAAGTTGTATTAGTGGTAGTGGTGGTGGGGGTATTAGTAGTAGTATTTGTATTAGTAGTAGTGGTGGTTGTATTAGTGGTAGTAGTTGTATTAGTGGTAGTGGTGGTGGTTGTATTAGTGGTAGTAGTGGTGGTGGGTGTATTAGTAATGGTAGTTGTATTAGTAGTTGTAGTTGTGTTAGTAGTGGTATTAGTAGTAGTAGTTGTATTAGTGGTAGTGGTGGTGGTTGTATTAGTAGTAGTAGTTGTATTAGTAGTCGTGGTGGTGGGTGTATTAGTAGTAGTGGTGGTGGGTGTGTTAGTGGTAGTGGTGGTGGTTGTATTAGTGGTGATGGTTGTATTAGTGGTAGTGGTGGTGGGTGTATTAGTGGTAGTAATGATATTAGTAGTAGTGGTGGTGGTTGTATTAGTGGTGGTGGTTGTATTAGTGGTAGTGGTGGTGGTTGTATTAGTGGTAGTGGTGGTTGTATTAGTGGTAGTGGTTGTATTAGTGGTGGTGGTTGTATTAGTGGTGGTGTTTGTATTAGTGGTAGTGGTGTTGGGTGTATTAGTGATAGTAGCTGTATTAGTAGTAGTGGTGGTGGTTGTATTAGTGGTAGTGGGTGTATTAGTAGTAGTGGTGGTGGTTGTATTAGTGGTAGTGGTTGTATTAGTAGTGGTGGTTGAATTAGTGGTAGTTGTGGTGGGTGTATTAGTGGTAGTGGTTGTATTAGTAGAGGTGGTT